CTAGATAATCAGCTTGTTTTCTTTGGTATGTAATATATCGGTTGTGGCTCTGATGCAAGTCTGATTCATCTTTGTGCTATAAAATGAGACTCTGTAAAGGAAAGCATTGCAACAGGAGTGAAGAGGTTGAATCTCATAGGAAGAAATCTGCCTTCTCATGAAGAATTCAATTTGCCAGAAATATCCACTTGTGGGGTATTTATGAGGAAATGTACCATTTAGCATTATTCTAAATTTATATAAATAACTGAACAAAAACAAAAAATTACTCCACAGAATTGCTCAATGCACCACTCACTACTGTTTTTCATTTCTATCATATGGCATATGATTTGGATTAATTGGAAACATACTTCAGTTTATAGCTAAAATGACTTACATGTATGAGTTTAGTAGAAAAAACATAAAAAATGGTTTACTAAGGTCAGTAGTTATTAGGTATCAGTTTTAAAACTACAAATATTCTGCAATGTCTTTAATTATATGACAGCTTTTTGGGGTTAATTGCTTACATGGATACTATTTCTATGCCTTTGACAGATGCCTTGGAAATTAAAAAAAAAAATCAAACAGTTCAGTTAAAAAATTTAACTATGAGAAATCATAGACCAGCTTAGTGTTTTTGAACTTCTTCAAACACATCCAAGTGGGAATGGTTCCATTATCAAAATATATTTTATTTAACTACAAATGGGTTCTTCTTTTTAATTCCAATCTTCTAATTCGTTTGTGATTGTTATCAAAGCTCTTTTACTTTGAAGAAAACACACAAGGACAAGAAAGGATTGAAGATCTGATTGAAGATCATATTTCTTTTTATGTAAAACTTCATTCTTCTCACACAAACTCTGTCATGCACATGTTGATCATATTCAATAAAATATTTACAAAAAAAAAAAAACACAAAATTGTTTGAATCAGAACCACTGCTTAAAAAAAAAAAAATCATTCGGAATAATTTAGTCAATGAGTTTCAGTAATTGCCCCCATATCAAAAATACTACTAAAACAACCCTGGGAATCCTGGAGAAAAAGAAAGAACTTCTTTAAAATGAAGAAAAGTCATTGAATCATTCTATTTTCAACAAATTTTGAGAGCAGTCTGTGGAGCAAACTGCATACATTTAGCAATTGATTTAAATTTTAAGACTGTTGTAACAGCTAAAGGCTTTTGTAACCATTTCTAAACTACAAACATTTTCCTTGATTTAAAATACTTTTCTTTGCTTGCAGGGAAGCAGAAATATATTAAACCATTTCAAAGAAGATTCTAAAAATATTCTTTAATTTTGAAACTGCATCTTAAATGCTTAAAACATATGTATGACACCAGGGCCATACTTAATTAGTTATAATTGAGGGTTTTGATCAGTTTTTATTAATACCAGTTTTGCTAACTATGTGTAAAATTAAATTTTGTTATAAAGTTACATATGGAAAAGTAAGCAAGCTACACAAAAAATAAAAAAAAAATTCATTCTCCTGGTTCCTTTGGTTCATGAATTTGCTTGTGGATGAAATGTTTATGTCTTCAAGCAATAGCAGGGAAAAACTCAGTGTTCATTTAAAAATAAAATGACTGTTCTAGATCAATAAAGAAAAGTATATTTTCTATACTAAAACTATATTAGGATGTTCATAAGGATTTAGTTTTTCTATCTGGATGCCACACTAACTGGATGAAAGGCACATCTAAGTAGCATAGGGGAAATTATTTTTAAGACCCAATTAGCAAAAAATGTCCACATTTCATGCATTAAAATAATTTACCTAGAATAAGATTATCTGCTAGAGCTACTTTATTTCTGACAGATCATTACTGGTAGATTGAGATGTATTAAACATTGCAAACAATTACTGCCTGCTTTTATGTCTCAACTTTAGTGTTTTCCTTATTTTAATGCAGAGGGAGCTTTATTAGCCTATTTATTATTTTGTGAAATCAGAGCCTAAAACAACTGGAAGAGAGAGAGAGAAAGAGAAGATTAAGATTGAGATTTTCCAGTGTTTCCACCATGTTCAGTGGTCCAATTACAGATCTACTGGGGAATGCAGTTCAGTAAGAAAAGAGAATTAATATTAATGTTTAGACTGGCTTAAGATTCAGCTTTTCTGGGGGAACAAAGATTATAAAACTGCCTGTAAATAGCTCTTGCCTTATATGAAGAGGTTCAGGAAACCTTTACCTATCAGTCTGACTAGCCAGCTATCAGATGATGGCAAATCCATTTGCCAAATGTGTCCAGCTGCAACTTGCCATCATCAATCTGTTTGAAGAAAATTAAATGCTTGTTCTTTTGTGGGTAGGGGAGGAAGATTAAGAGATAATATTTTGATTCAAATAAATGGTGATAACCTACTACAAACAATAAAAGATAGTAGTCTGGCTTTTTACCCACGTCAGTCCTTGGCACAGTTTGATGTTCTCGCCAAAGCTTAATTACGACGGGGCCCCAGCGGTATGGGGCTATAATTTCGTGGTTTCTTTCAAGAGCAAAGGGAAGTTATTTCTTAAAATAAGGAAACCTGTACAATACATTTATTTGAATATGAGTAAATAAAAATTTCTCTTTTAGGTTAGGAGTGCACAAGCGAAGGCAGAAATGGTCAGATAATTCTAGGTGTAACCAAAAGAGGGCACCATCTACCCTTAATGTCTGCACAGAGTTCCTGTGGTTGTAAAAACAAAACCCAAAAAACTCCAAGCCCCTCAACCCCTCAAACTCTGATCCCGCCCCAAGAAAGGGCATCCCGTGGCTCCTGACATTTTGTACTCTATAAGGAGACCAAATTCTGAAACTGCACCTTATGAGGAATATCAGTTTGGTTATTTACTTCAGGACTGATTTCAGCAACTCATGGTGCCTGACATGTTAGCCACGAGAAGCAAGTATTTAACATTCACTGTGACACTTTTCAGACACTTCGAGATTAAAATTTTATAGGGCACTGAGAAAATTTCCCCTTAGGCCAGAGTAAGGCTGTCATCAAACAGCATGAGAAAAAGATGACAATTAACTTCCTAATGCTATCTTAACTCCGAGGGGTTATCTATAATGATAGATAGATAAGGACCCGTGGCAGTAAGGTCTCCTCGCACAGGGAGGACACAGTTAAATGCATTTGAGGTATGTGGGAAATAATCTGAAACAGCATTTGATGCCAACTTTTAGTAACAGAAGCCTAACAAATGTTCATTCTTTCAAGTGGGAAAAAAAAGCATCCTGACACTACTCATAAATTTATTTTCTGTATTCTTAAACATGTCTTATGACAAGTGCATGATTAAAATTGATCAATGTTTGGGGGGATTGCACACCTCCCTTGTATCTAATCAATTTCTTCAGGGTGATGGGGAAGAATAGTTCCAGGCTCTTAAGTGCAGTTGCCAAACTGCTCTCAAAAAATTCACTATACAGAAGACCACATGATTCTTGAAACAATGAGTTTAGCATTTAAACCAGAGGCTGGGGATGAGCATTTCACTTTGTAGTACAGACAGCTGTTGAGGCAGAAGAAATGTGAATTCTTAGAGAATGGTCATTTCCACCACTGTAAACATATCACTACCACATGCAATGAGTGTAGTTGGAGGAAAACCTGGTGGGGAAAGAAATAATTCTATAATCTTTTCAAGTAAAGAAAAGCACCCAAAATAGTTTTATGGTAGATGAGAAGGGGACTGCCATCTATGAACACTAAAATCTAGCAGTTTTTTTTTCTCTGAATTTCAACGCAATATTAAAGCAAATAAAATTTTTTTTTGTCTTACTCTGTCTCTAGAAAAAGAATCACTATCTAGTGGTAGGCGTTGTGCAAGCCTCTTCATGTTTCTTTTCTCCAGAAAACAACTAAACGGAGGAAAAAACGAGTTCACACAAACATCCCAACTCGCTCCTGCCAAGGTACATCAGAGAAGCCGAAATTGGCATTGCGTGGGCTTGGGGTGGGCTCACGGCAGTGGCTCGAATTAAAACCTAAACGTGTCACCTTGTGACTACCTCGTGACCCCTTTTTCAGAGTGGCTCTGACCCTGGTCTCTCTCTGCCCGAAGGAACCGAGCCGTAGACACTCCATGGGTTTGGGGGAAGTAGTCGCCTTGGTCCCGGAGAATCGGGTTCCTCCTGGGTCACCTCATCCACCCAACCACCTGTTATCCTTCGGGCCTCCGTTTTCCAGAGACAAAATTATGAAATGAGCCGCAGTTGGGGCTTTGGAGGCTGTGGTGGGGGAAGAGGATCCCCGAGGGATGACAGAGAGCTTCGGGTCTCCTCTGGGTAGTCGGCGTGGCTGTTTACCAGCCCCGCCGCCTTCAGCCCACTTCCCTTTTCCTCTCAGGGAGGAGGAGATGGTTAAAGATTACACCGTGGCTGCGGGCACTTCAAAGGGCGGCTCGGGCAGCCAAAGGTAAAGATAACCTTCTGGCAGCTCTAATCAGGGTTTGTGGTTGCTACATTTTAATCACTTCATTGAAAGAAAAAAAGAAAGAAAAGGAAAGAAAGAAAGATCAAGAAAAGAAGAAAAGAAAAAGTTTACATCACACGTCCGTGCAAGGGATGCAGAGTAAGTTCCTTTGGGGCTGGGCAAGTTGGAGTTCTCTTTTGGGAAAACTTTTTACAGCCCGTGTCTTCGTGGAACGCGGCTGGACGCGGAGGGGAGGTTGGCGCAGGGATCAATTGGGCAGCCCGCCCTTAGGTTCCAGGCTCAGGGGCGCAAATGCCCACACTGGAAGCAAATGCCTACAACCGGGAGCCCCGCGACCAGCCTAGAGCTGCACTGGGAGGCTGCGACGCACTAGCGCTTTCTGGGGCTTGCACTTGAAGCCGTTTCTCTGCGGGCCCGAAAAGTGCGCTTCTGCTCCCCCTGAGACACGTGCATTTCTCTGGGGCCCAAACACGTCGGTCCAAGATGCCCTCTGCAAACTCGCCCGGTCCCTTCCAGACCCCCAGGCTGGTCTCCCCGATTTGCCCCCTTCCCGGAGCCGAGCGGCGCGCACTTACAGGTAGGAGGTGAAGACGCTGAGGTTGGCGGGCAGCTCCGAGAGCCCCAGGTCCGAGCAGTCTACCCTGAGCAGCATCCTGCCGTCGGGCTCGCACTGACAGTGCGCGGGGCACCCCCGCAGCAGCGCGCCGGGCCTCGGCGAACCGCCCACGGCCGCCAGCTGCAGCAGGACGGGCAAGGACAGGAGCACGCCGACCGGGGAGGTGTCCATGGTGCCCCGGCAGGGTGCCTGGAGCGAGCCGCGGTCGGAGGGCAGCGTCCGGGGTGCCGCGGGCCTCGGCCGCTTAGCGCTTGCCTGCAGCGCTGGGCGCCGCGCTCCTGCCCCACGGCGGGGGCACCGAGGAGAAGCGCCGCGGGGCCGGGCCGTGCCCGTTGCAGCCACGCGGGCCTCGGGAGCGGCCCTGGCTGCAGCCGCCGCAGGGGCAGAGAGCGTTGCTGCTGCAGGCCGCCTGCTCGGTGTGGAGCAGCATCTCCGCTCGCACGCTTGTTTTTTAAAGCGCTCCAGCCCGAATTGCGCGCCCAGTGACGTCAGCGCAGCCTGGCTTCCCAGGCACCCCCCGCCCGGCCGCACTTTCCCTCCTCCGGCCCCCTCCCTCCTTTCCCGATCGCGGGCTGGGAGGCTGCTGGCGGCGAGAGGTGCAGGCGAGCTCTTGGCCCTCGGGCTGGGCCGCCGCCGGGCGGATTCCGGCGCTCAGCACCGTGTGAGGGCCGGGCGACCCCCCATCCTCATTCCCCTCTGCGTCGTGGCGACCCAGAGCCGAGAGCCGAAAGGGACCTGCCAGAGGGACACACACGGCTGCGCAGAGACCGAAGGATGCAGCACGCTTCCTCCAAGTCCACTTCAAATAATGGATGGAATACATGGAGTGATTAAAAAAAAAAAAAAAAAAAAAAAAAAGACTAAAATTCAATCCAGAAAAATAGTTAAAGTTATCAGGGTAAGGAGGCAGGCATTCCCGGGCGAACGATGGGTGGCCTTTTTGATCTTTACCTCACAGCACACTGTCTAGCTCGCTTTTGCCTTAAAATCAAAGTGCCAGGTTAATGGCTAAATAAATACGGCTCGTGAGCAAGTACTGCAATTCTGCCTTCCTAACTTTTGGGGTGAGAAGTCGAAGTGGCTATTTTTTTGAAGTGTTTCAGGATCCGCTGGAAAGTCACCTTTAGTAGAACAATACCGGACGGACAGACAGATGGCTGTTTGCTTTTGTTCAGGGAGGGGCCTTTTCTTGCCAAGCGCCCCTAGGGTTCTCTAGTGCAGCCCCCCCACCCCCGTCCCCCCAGGCAAGAGGCACCGGGCTCTGGGAGAACCTTTGCGGAGTACCAGTGCAGAATGTGTCTTCTCACACTCTTCAGCAAGTGCCCTAGGGTGAAACTAGGGGAGAAAGGAGGAGAAGGACTTAGGGCTTTCTTGGAGAGACAGCCTCAGTGGGAACAAGTCAAACGTCTCCAGACCCGAGACAGAGTGGCTGAAAGAGGTGACAGCCCAAGCCTGTCCCATCAACTCACAAAAATGCACAGTTTTCTCTCTGGGGTACAATGCCTCCTTGTTTCATGAAGGTGGAGAACCCTTTTGGCTCTCAAGGCCTCTCTTAGTCTTCTTCCACTTAGCCTTTCCCACCGAATTTCCCGTATAAACTTCAGAATTTTACAATTGGGAAGTTCTTTTTCTTTTTTGTTAGGTATATTTCATTGAAGGAGTGATCCCCACAACTGGCTGATCACCTGTGGGGCTTTTATGATTAATATAGGTACCTGGACCTAAATGAGTATTCTGAACATGTCCTTTTCTTGGGTGAATCCCATCATTCGCAAGTTTGTGATTCTCTGGATTAGATGAAGGGGTAGAGTGGCAAAGAATTAGAAACTCCATCCTCCTTGTTTTGCAAATAAAGGAACTGTGTGGCCCAGAGATACTGGAAAATTTGACAGAGGCTGCTGAAAACTGTGAGTTAAGCCTGGTTTCTGGACATTAGTGCAGTGCCTGGTTCTGGATTGTTTCCTCACTTATCCCTATGCACACCACATCCCCTACCATCACTTTGCTCATTCCCACATTATTGTTTCTCCCAGTCATTCCTTCCAATGTATAGAATACCTACTAATTGCTTATTTTCATTCCCACTTTTTTTCTTTTCCCCAGATTACTTATTTTGTAAATGCAACTCAAGATTTATTCTTTTTATGAAACCTCCCATGACCGCAGTCTGCATTAATCATCAAGCAACCACTGTTTGTAGAACAACGATGATCATGATGCAGCAGTGACCTGAGGGGCAAGTTAGCTCTCTCTCTGCATGGAGCTTGCAGTCTAAAGGGGATTCCCACGGAAGACGAATCTCACTGAACGGTATGTTGTAAATACCACAAAATTTAGTTCTGAGGTTTTCTGGAAAGCATATTTGTTTTGTTTTGCCAACTTTATTGTGACAACTTTGGAGACAGGGACTAGGCCATTTGTCTTATCTTTACCTGTAGGACTGAAGCTCACGGTAGTGACCCCAAACCTAACAAATATTTACTGACTGATTGATTATCAACACAGGCATCCAAATATGGTCGTGTCCACCGCCTGCCTAAAAACTTTTGGCAATACTTTCTTGACTTCAGGGTTGTTGAAAAGAGCATAACACTTTAGTTGTAGAATGAATCGGGCAGAACCAGATTTGAATGTAGGTTCTGCCAGTTTCAGGCAATTTGATCAGAGGCACAGAATGAGCCCACCTGTCTCAGCTACCTTCTCTGTAAAAGGTGGGTAATTATTCACCTATGTTGTTCTACATGTGGAAATGTCTGGAACTCGGCCTAGAGCAGAATAGATTTTCAAATCTGTGTTAGTGCCTTTCCTCCTCTTCTCAGGACTTAAAGCTTGTTAATAAATTCATGTAGAGTGGAGGGATTTCCGATTCAGTTAAATGGGGGTAGACAGCTGTGTTGAATGAAGCCAGGTATATTGAGCATCTGTTATCTATCTGTCTGTCTATCTACCTGTCTATCTGCATGCCAACGTTTCTCCTGTCTCCTTGTGGTGGGAACACTCCACACTTCTTGGGAACCTTTAACTGATTCTGGGGGGGCTATCGTGTGGTTCTACCTACCTGCCCCTGGGCAGGTATATGACCCAAGCAATGAAATCTGAATCTGTTTGAGGGATTGTCATAGACCCTGGGGTGAGAAGATCTTCTCTGGCTTCTTGAGTTGTAAGGACAAGGAAAATTAGGGTCAGCGGCGCTGTTATTCTGCTGTAGAGAAAACTCACTGGACATTATTAGCATTAGTAAAGAGAGAAGCAAAATCCTAGGGTCATCTTTTAAACACCTGGATCTAAGACTAATTCTACCCATCACCTCCAAATTGGTGAACTAATCAATTTTGTTTTGTTTTGTTTGAGGTAGTGAGTGAGGATTTAGTTGTGATCACTTACAGGCAAGAATGCTCTGTAAAAACCTGAAAGCGCAGGAAGTGTGGACATTTAAGAGTGACCAGATGAACCCCCAAGGTCTTGTAGACCTTAAAAGATAGAAATCATATAGGTTGAAAATAGGAATGATTTGGCTAATGGTAATTGTATTGCCTGAATGCATGTATGTTAGTCATTTTATCTGAACTAATAAAGATGAGAATATGGCAAATCAGATTCCTTGCACACTAAAAAAAAAAAATTCTAGTAAGGACACTGAGGAGTAGTCTGTCTGTTTTGTGGCAAATACCATTTAATTTATAAGATCAGGTTCTCAAATTGCATTATAATGACCATCAGCATCGACTCAGCTCTTTATACATTCATATCCTCACTGGGTCCTCTTAACAACTTTAAGAGATAGATATTATTCTAACCCCAATTTTAAGAATAGGAAATGCAAGTGGTTTTCCTAATGGAGACCAGCAAGTCAGTGATAGAACTAAAATTCTAACTTGAGTCTTAAGACTTTAAGTTCTTTCCCAAATACACACACACACACACACACACACACAACAACTCCCACCCTCAAACACACACACACACACACACACACACACACACAGACTTAAACTGGATAAGATCTTGGGTTTACTGTCAGTCATTTCATTGAGAAAGAAATTCACATTTTTAAAAAATTTTAATTTTTTAAAGATTTTATTTTTAAGTAATCTTTACATTCAGTGTGGGGCTTGAACTTACAACCCCAAGATCAAGAGTTGCATGCTCTACCAACTGAGCTAGCCAGGGACCCCATCACATTTTTTTTTTAAAAAAGAAAAGCATAGTCTTTTGGACTGCAGTGGAACCAGTTGGAGCAGAGAAGGGTGGCTTTTTGTGTGAAGAGTAGGGGCAAGTATATATTCAAGCTTTTCCTCTTAAATATATACATTTCTGTTTTCTCTTGATAACTCACAGGAATACATTCTGGTGAGATGTCAGAGCAAAACAACAATACTTTTACTTGTGATAGGAAGGCTAGTAGGCTAAAGCAGATTCATTTAGTATTTTGTCTGGGTGAAATGTTCTTATTTATGATTTTGGAAGGTATCTCAGTGTTAACGAGTTGGTATGTAATGGAAGATCTCATGCCAGAGTTTAAATCACTTATTGCTTCTCAGACTCTGATTGCAAGTGCCTAAAATTGATTCTGGTAAAGTGCAATCTGGTACGTGTCTACTTTCTGGGCTTGCTAAATGGATGATTTCCTAATTCTTTAATCTTTGATAAAAGTCCACCACTAAAAACATTCATGTACACCACAAGAATTACTAATAAGCTTAGTTGAATCATGCCAGGATAATTTTAGTTAACAGGTAAGTCAATATTTCTTTTACAAGTATAGTGAAATAGTGTTTACACAACTGGTGGGCTATTATGGACTTATTTAACTTGTGTGAAAGAGTATAGAGCCCATTATTTGCTCTGCTCATTTTACATTCATGATTTAATCAGGCTTATGCTGAATTTCTTAACTTCCTTTCACCAACAAAATCTAATTAATTGAGAAGGGAGGAGGATTTAAGAATAAAGATCTATTTTCTTTCAGAATTATTTATTTTGCAAGAAAGCATTAGTTCAGCTAGTTCATTACTTTGAAATAGCCTGTTATATAAAATCAAGTGGATCTGTCTTTGATATTATCCAACGTAAAGAAACCTTTAAATATATCCACATGTTCACAACATGCTAAAAGAAAGGACAGTGCTATATTATCAATTCTTTAGCTCATTTTGATCCTCTTGTCTTATTTCATGTATGATAATGAACATGGTTCTACTGGTATGTGGCGGGCTTCCTGAGAACATATGTCCAATCAAACTCACATGTGAACCAGGGGGAGGTTTTCTTTTCAAACGAAGAGTAAAATAAATGAGAAAAAGATAACAAAATACTTCAAATTAAATGATCTTACTGCTTATTCACATACTTTATTTAATTCTGCCAAATATTACCTTAACATCTGGACAAACTTTTCCATATGCCCAATATGATGGATCCT